ACACTAGATCTTGAATCTAATAATATTGGTGATGTTGGAGCGCAACAGTTGGCTAATGCATTACGATACAACACAGTAATTCTCGTTCTTTCTTTATCCGCATCATGTCTTTATCTACACTTTCTTTCATCTAGACACTCACCGCACTGTATCTCAGAGATAATAATCTTGGAGATGTTGGAGCACAACATCTGGGTGATAGCTTACGATACAACAGAGTGATTATCATTCTCTCGTTATACATACTATGTCTTTCTCTACACGTTTTCATTTAGACACTCACCGACCTATATCTCGAGTCTAATAACATTGGAGTTGTTGGTGCAAAACATCTAGGTGATGCATTACAATGCAACACAGTAACGCTCATTCTCTTTTTATCGATATCATGTCTTCATCTTCACGTTTTCATCTAGACACTCACCACACTAGATCTCATATCTAATAACATTGGACACGATGGAGCACAACATCTGAGTAATGCAATGCGATACAACACAGTAATTCTCATTCTCCTTTTATCCATAAAATGTCTTTATCTCCACCTTCTCGTCTAGACACTTACCTCACTATATCTCAGCGATAATCAAATCGGATATGAAAGGAGACGTGAAATCAATGTGTTTATTGAACGGAATAATAGAGGAAGAAATCTGTGAGTGCTCATATTAGATTTATTTCGATGACAAACACATACGGATTGATGATGATGCATATATATTGTTTTGTGTTGTAAGTTTCGTAAAAAAAGTTAATAAAATTATTTATTTGCACACTTAATGTGTATGATGGTGATTGTTGCAGTTTGTATTTTTAGTATGTGGTAGAGGATTATGTTTTATAAAATGAAGGATCTCTCACAGAAGTATTTTGTTAAAGTGTAGTACATGTAAAACTATGCTGATGTTTTATATAACAATGGTAAATCTGTAAAATAGTTCTTTTCGATAAGACTGAATTACAGAAGGTCCTATTTGATAATAGTAAAACCTTAAGAAATTCTTTGCAATAATCGTGATGCAAAAGGTTGTGTCCGGTGGTGCTGAATCAGAAACGTTTATTTTTAATATTCACGAACTGTAAAATGTTTAGTTAAGTACAACTTTTCTTATTTGATTTTTTCTGGGTTGTATAGTTAAATAAACGCATTATCAAGAATTTGTTGAAACAGAAACAAAATATTCAATACGGATCTGACGTTTAAGTATGATAATATATTTTTCGAAGTAAATTTGTATATGTTCTAAAGCATTATCTTATTTAGTTATGCTATTTTTCTATGTCTAATTGAATAGTATTGTTCTAACATTAGATCGGATTAGATTTGTGTACAACTAGAACAAAATGCATATTTGTTGTTCGTTAAGTTCAACTTTACAAATTTTCCAATTTGAAACATCTTTCGATTGTACACAACTCCAGATATTTGTCAATGAATGATAACGAAATAAGATTTAAAAGTGTTTAACAGTACATTCATTAATCATTATTTGTACTAGAATAGTGCTTCTCTTGACAAATACCAAAGATACTCTACGTTACTATTACATGAAGTGTATAGAATACCTTCAGATGTTTTTTCTTCTGAGAGACAAGTCTATGGCAAGCTTGGAATCAATTATGGAAAAGAGTACTATGAAGAATATATTCTTATCATTAAACCTAATTCTACTTTCATTCTGACTCTTAGATTGACGAGATCGGATAGTTACTTTCAAATATCTCCTCATTAAAACTAAAGACTGGACTGATATTCGTCACAAGTATATATAAATAGGCATCACGATCAATATCATTTCTGTTTATTATGAAAAGTGCGCTAGATCGAGCGTCCTATGTAAGATGTTTTGCAAAAATAATCTCAACGGATATAAAAGAACTTTATAAAGCTTCGCATGATCAAATCAGAAAGTTTTGGCACATTAAGAAGTATCGTCAATCCTAGTTTTTAAAGTGCGAAAATCCAGGTGAAGCACTGAAAAGATGTGAGCGATCTATCAATTAATAAAAGAAATGTCTTTTCATAATGATGTTTAGTAGTTCAAGGAATAGCATTTGTTCGTATTTATTGATGTGAATAATATATTCAGTCGAAAGCATCTAGGATACTGAGACATATACGTGTGTAATCAGTGAATTTGATACCCTAATTTACATTCTCTGTATTATCTAGGGGTAGGACAGTTCACAGTTCTAAATTTGAAGGAACCAGTCAGTAGAATTGCCTACCCAGTTCATTTAAAAGAAACGAGGAAAAAAATTGACAAATTAGATTTATAATCGTTGCTTCTTCTCTAGTATAGTAACCAATAAACCAGTCAACACTAAAATGTATGGTCCAAGTAATTAATAAATCTACAGCAGGAAATATATTTTATTGTAAAAGTTTGTCCTTCTGGTTACCATCACCCAGGAAAAGGTAATTCACGGTAAAAAATCACGATATTTCTATACTTTATGTAAGTAATATTTTACAACATCTTACACTATGAACAGGAATCAATTGTCAATAATGGACAATTGTATAAAATTATGTTTTTATCACTGCTCAATGAAAAATCTTTATTGTTTGATCACTTGATAAAGAACAAGAGTATTAATTTCATCTGTTGTTTGAAGATGTATCGATGAGATGAAGAAAGGATCAAAGCAGGTGTGTGTGTGGGTATGGGTGGAAGTGAGTGGATGTGCATGTATCATATCAGAAGTACCCACCCACACCCATCCGCAAGATGGGTAACAAAAGTAATATAAAACATCACTGAAACAGATCAGTTTTTCTATATCAATTCATTCATTATCCACAACTCTTCGAAGGCAAATAAAAGATTTGGTTACTATTCAAATGCTCTTTTCATTATTATTCTGTCTTCATTATTTTTGAAAAATATATTTCATAAAACTATCAAATATGTAATTAATTTAGTTACTCTTCTTATTAATAGAAGTTTCTTTAAAAGAAGTTTATTTCTTGTCTAATATAGTTATTATCTTTAGTTTTCTTTTTCGAATTTACAGTTACAGAAAATAAAGAGTAGTTCAATATGTATAATTATAATTGATGAGATGATGTTGTGATGAATTAAACATAATCTGACACTTGATAGTGATAAGATGAGGTACAATCTTCTGATGATTATAGCATTTATCTATTACGATTTTGGTTTTGTAATTGTGTAAAGTATTTCAGGAATTATAAATATTGAAAACTGAATAGAATGATAACGTTTGCAACTAAAATATAAAAAAAGATAATAAATGAAGAAAAAAGTAAAAGAAATAAAATATTTGTTGAAATAGTGTGTTAACAATAGATAGCTTTGTACTTTCGTTGCTATTTTTTGACAAATAACATCAACTGTTCTTCTAATGAAAAGATCTATCGATAAAAAGAAAAGCTTTATTCAATTATGAATCAGTTTATCAAACCCTACAAACTATAGTATATATATATATTCTGTGTAAAATGGTAGATCATACTTGGAAGATCTTCCTTCGTCAATACCTATGAAAACATCACTCAAACTTACCCCGTGTATTAATTATAATGAATTCTTTAAAAAATAGAATATTTTAATTTATCATTAATAATTAGAAAATATATCTACCATATATTTTGTAATGAAAAAGAAAATATGTCGATTTATATAAGAACTTCTGTGGAAATATTCGATAGATATCGTCAACTCAAAAGAATGTATCATAGGAAAATAAAGTGTAGGTACAATGTAAATTGGTAATACTCTTGAGCGTTGTGTGTACGGAAGTACATCCTCGTAATGTCACTTGTTCAAAGAAGAAATATAACGTGAAGTAAAATATTATTCATCCAAAGTGAAATTATATTCAAACATCTGATTTAATCGTCAATTATTTGGCAAATAGTTAATGAAGTTCAAACTGTTTTTTGAGGATATTTCAAGTTTTTCTAAAACAAAACAAATTAAAATGGTAAGTTCACGTAAGAGACAATAAACATATTCAAAGATGAAAAGGAAAAGAAATGACAGCAGGTCAAATAGTAAGAATAATAAAAATATATATTTATATACTTTCAAGACATAATTTCGGCGACAAAATAAATCAAGCAAGACACTAGTCATTATCCACATGTAATCCGATTATATATACGCATGCTTTGACGTAAACAATAGAAGCAAAAATAGATATTAACGTCATACCTTTCTTTATAATCTTTTTTATTTACATTGATAAATATTGTATTCAAAAAAAGAATAGAAATGAGTATAAAATATAGTGAATACAGTTTTGATGACGAAATCGATATAAATACCGACTACATATAAATATACATTTATTATTCTAAATAAGTATCATATACATTAAAACAGAATTTATAATTATTTTTAATCATGGTAGATTACAAAATACGTTCATCTAATATTCAGAAATTATATTTCTCACTTGAATTATTCATTGTTTTTAATACTATTCGTCATCTTTTCTATCAAGATCAATCAATTACCGATATTGGATACTGGTTTAATATGAAATGGGTTGTTCTTCCTGATTATCTAAGCCATTATAAACGAGAAGTTTTAATAGTTCATTTTTTTTCGGGTATGATTGCATTATTTGGTATGCGTTATCAAACTAGTGGAAGTCATAAAACTAATTCGTTGATTCATAAATATGTTGGATATATTGTTGTTTTAAATCAATTATTAGTTCATTCACCAACAATTCTAATGATGACTCAATATGTAAAAGATTATGTATTAGCAAGAAAAATTTTCTATATAATGACTACTATTGTAACAATAAAAAATGCAATAATGTTGGTGAAATATGCTAGAGAGAAAAACATGCGCAAACATCGGCGATGTGCACTGACATTATATAATTATATTTCAACGTTTACTAAAGGTAGAATATATATGTATACAGTTCTTCCATTTTTACCAAACAATTGGCGACCATTTCATATATTTATATCAGATGTTGTATCAATAGCATTTGCTGAACGATATTCATGGAAAAGAATGGCAAAATTATTTGTGATCATTTTCATTTCTGGACAACTCATTGAATTAACACCATCTCTGTGGTATATTTGGGCTTTTGTTGGTATTACTTACAATGCTATTTATGCTTAAGGATCAAATGTAGTTGTACAATAAACTATTTAGCATATAAATAAATTAACTGAAAGAATGAGTCATACTGTATTTTTTTTTATTTTTAAAAATTATCAAAATGAAATTTTTTTAGTACAGCTATTAAAGCGTTTATCTCTTAATCAAGTCTTGAATCAGTTAAATACTTGGATATACATCGAATTCAAACTAAAATATATTCTTTTTGGTTATAAATCATCAAGTATGTAATAGATCGAATTGTGTATTTGACAATGTGAATGCCATTTGTACTTGCTCACATTATATCTATTATGTACAATTTAAAATTCATTTATATACTATTATAAAATTACATCTAGGTTTTCGAAGTCGATATTAACTTATTGTTCACTAAATTGTCTCTCAATCTTTAAAGATAACTAACAATATTTTACTTGCCAAAACTATTACTCACTGTTAATCCATGTGTTTATATCGTTTTAAATAAAAACACATAGAAATTTCGATTGATTCTACTACAAATTATATATCATTCTTTGAAATATAAATACCAAATGTATCATATATGACATCTAACTAATGTCTTGGACTTTCTCAGAAAGCTTAGTTTCATGGAGTTATGGATGGAAAATTATAGTTAAAAAACAAAGTATTTTACAAAAGAACAATATAGAAGTAAATAGTTATGAATAAATTTTATGCAGCAGTAGAACATGATAATCATGTATATATATTTTAGATAATGTATTGTAAGAAATAGATTTTTAAGAAGTAAAAGAAGCTATTATACAATATAAAAAGTATTAACTACATAAATGTCCTAGAAAAGTTATACTTTTGATGTATTTTGTCGAGGTTATTCTGAATGATTTAAAAAATGTTAAATTTATATTTGTCTTGAAAGATAACTATCGATTGTTTAATACAAATTCATTTGAAACTTTGCTCTATTTATATACTCAGATTGTTTTTTATTTCACACTCAATCCTCCTAAATACATCAATACTAGCTGTTCTTTTGTTTTTTTTCTTCAGGTGCAAAATAAAGAATAAAGAATGGTTGTTTATAATTCAACGATGTCATAAACATACGTCATGTTTATCTTCACATAATATAATCGTATAATAAAATATGTAATAAGATAAAAAGAAGTAATGAAGTAGAATCTCTGTCGTTTATTTTTCTTATAGAAATACAAAACAAAGAGTGAATACTGAGTCAATGTGAGATGAAAGATCTTTTATCTCAATTACTAAAAATAAATATAATCATATAAGATCGAAAATAGATACTTAACTATATATTTAAAAATAATCTCATGTTAAATGATAAATGATTATTGTAACATTGAAGATTATCGAAAAATCTTATAATATAAAACAAAAAAAAGAAATCATTCTGATATTGTTATCTATTTCAAGTTTTAATTTTAGACAAGTGATATTTTTAATTTCATGAATATTAATATATGTTTATTCGAATAATATTAGTTCAAAGAAACTTATAAATTATATTTCATTTTTAGAGATGTAAATAAAAACTCAATCGACTTTTTTGTTTTGTTTCAAATAATAATTATCATACATTATTTCTTTTTAAAACTATCCATGTATATGTTCTTTTAACCTCATAATGAGGTAATATTCATTTTTTTTGTATTTCTATTGGAAAAATAAACGATAGAAATAATACTTTATCACCTCTTTCTCTCTCTCTGTCTTATTACTGTACTTTATTATGCGATTATATCACATGAAGATAAAGGTGACGTATGTATAATGACATCATTGAATTATATATAAATATTCTTTATTCTCCATTTTGTACCTGAGCAAAACACAAAAGAACAGTTATTATTGATGTATTTAGGAGCATTAAGTATGAAATAAAAAAAATCCGAGTATATAAATAGAGAAAAGTTTCGAATCGATTTATATTAAACAATTGATACTTGTTTTTCAACATAAATATATATATATCTATATTTCTTATATCAACAATGGCTGTTTATGACAAATTATCATTACTATTAATATTATGCTTCTGTGGACTTATTATGCATACATGTTCTGGTAATGCTCTACCTTCAGGAGATTGTAGCAAAGATGAAGACTCAAGTAAGTAGAATCTGTATTGTTATTATAAATATTTTATTTTCATATTTATTTTAAAATAAAAAAGCAATTGGACAATTCCTGCATAGGCAAAAACGAAGAAGGAGAAGAATCAGCAATGTGTAACGAATACTGTAGCAGAACACGTACAATTGATTCCTCACAATTGCCATCTCTATTGCAACAATTGGGACAAGTTTTGTTTAATAATCTACGACTTGGATGTGTTGGTTATTGCTCCCAAGAGCAAACGTGTCTCTGTGTAATTGGTAGTGACGTATTATATGAAGGACCTGGAGATATTGACGTAGCAGGTATCAATCCGGAAAAAATAATCTTTTTTACAACTCTTAACATAGGTGGCAAAAATGTTAGCGTATCTAATATTCTTTGTGAAAATCCTAACTAAATTTTATTCAATATAAGTTCTTTTTTATACATTAAACAAATAAATATTATAATCACGCTTGCTATTTTATTCTTATACCAATATTTTTTTGTAAACTAATTTTTATTCATAATAAATTTTCTATTTTCTTTCAAATCCAAGATCTTTCAAATAATAAATATTTCCTGATAAAATTTACAATATTTGTTATGTATTTAACAAAAAAATGATTTTTTTCTAATTAAGATATTTGTTTTTACATATGAATAGACAAGTTTTATGTTTCATTGAAATGAAAATGAACAAAAAAATCTTTTTTTGTGATTATATTAATATATAGAGAATATAGTTAAAACAGATAATCTGTATTTCGATAACTAAATCTATATTAAAAATCTAATTAATTCATTAAAAAAACAGAATATTGTATAGAAGAATTCGATTGTTAATAAAATAAATAAATTCAGTTTATAGACACATTTACAAATTAATATCCTTTATTATTGGATAATTTACACAAAATATTCGATTGTTACTCGAAATTGCTTTAGAACGGTTAAAAAATTAATAGTATTTTTTCAAAAATAATTGTGTTTTTGCGCAAAATGAATGTAGTTCCAGTACGGCGAATAAAATGATCTAAACAAAAATAGCTACAAAATCATCGCATCTATATAATAAAAAGAAAAAACCACAATCTTTTTTATTGTTTATGATAGGTAGTAATATCTTTTTTAAGATAATTATTTCATATGAATTCAACTAATAAAAATAGTATTGTTATTCATAATTACATTTGGACCCTTACATACACCGTGGAAAACAGTTAATGATCGGTGTGAACAATGAATAATTATATAAAATTATGTTTTTATCATTGCTTAATGTAAAATCTTTATTATTTGATCAGTCAATAGAGAAAAGATTAGAGCATTATTAAAATATCAGACATATGAAAATACTTAAAGCCTCACGATTGAATAACTTTTTGAGTGTTCATACGAGATTTCAGTTTAGTATTTCTTCTTTTTTCTTCATACCTTTCTAACATGACCTGCTCTTATAGGTTAACTGATGATTACTGTAGTTTTAATGAGAAACAATCATCGAAAGAACATGTGACAGGGCTATATCTATCATAGAAGCATAACGATTCTTGTGCCGGTTTCGTATCAAAACAAGTATATTTTGATGTAAAGAAAACAAACGCATTTCACGGAATAAAATGTCATAATTCAATAGTTTTTCATTCGAAAAGTGAACAATTAGAGAAGATTGTATCATATTAATAACAGCTGATAAATAATCAATCAAAACTACCAATCTACTTGCTGTAACAGACTTATCAGAACACCATGTATATTGTAAATATGAATGTGAACTTATCATGTTTTGACTTACGTGGGAATATATGTCTAGATAACGATGAATTTGGTACTCATACTCATATCTATATTTAGTCCTCAGTTTATGCTATAAAAGAATGCCACATATATGCGTATTATTTGATAGAAATACGGAACTATTGTATTGATTATTATACGAGAAAATCTTCTTGAAATTGCTAATGATTTCATGGTAGATGCTAGATTCTCACATCTACCTCGTTATCAACAATATAACCTTTTCTCGTTGCACATGCCGTCGGAAACAAGTGTCTAGGAAATAGCAGTCATCTTATTATTTTTCTTGACAGATTGATTTAAATAACAATAAATGAATGAATTCAGTAAAAAGAAACGCTTCTATATATAAGATTAGAAATCTTGAAGAAGTCTTCTGTTTCATACATCATTTCATTTCACAATGATATTCCTATTAGAGTCTATGAGATTTAATAAACGTTTATTATTATTCATGACAACATATTTCTTCAAGGATATATTACTTTCAGTATTTATTTTTCTGTTCTCTTATCTCAAACTAATTTATTCAGTGGAAAAAATCGTAACAGATCAGAAAGAAATGTAAATGAAGACACTTAAAAAAGATTTTTTTTTCTAAAATAAGCTTTCATCATTGAAAAAGCTCTTAAAAGTATAGCATTTTACTATTTCATCATCCCGAGAGTAAGTTTGAATATAGATGCTTTTTTCTCTCACACTTACGCT